GAGTCCTAAGTCGTTTTCTAGTTTCACAAGTTTTTCCTTAGACATCATCGAAGTGTCCAAATTAGGAGCAACACATCAACAGACACCGAATATTCCGGTTCTATAAGTCAATGGGAAAAATCAAATCGGAGTGAGTTAAAAACAAAACAATACTTAAACTCAATTCATAGTATTATTGTTTGATGTACAGTACATGACTATCCTTAAGTACACTTAGAACGAGAAGTTAGAATATCGTCACCTTTCAGTTCTGATTATTAACGAACTTTCTTCAGAAATCAATGATTACTGATTGTTTTTCATTCGTTTGGCTGATAGTATCAACCAAAGAAGAAAAACCCATAATTAATCATATTTATCAAGATGAAAGTATTCACAGCAAATTCAGATTAGTTTTTTTTTTTGAACTGATTGGTTTCATATTTTTTTTCTGTCGAAATACACAAAGAAAGTATGGTTCTTTTTTCTCAAATGAATACAAGCAAATAAACTTCCTGATAATTCAGGACTTATTTCACGTTCATTATTCGCTAATTTTATGCAAGCACACGAGAATATGAAAAATTACCTACTGAAAAACACTTGTACCGTGACGAATTCAAACTTTTGGAGATACATTCTTTATATATACGTATATATATACACATATATATATATATATATACAGAATATATGGTTTGTTGCCGGGATATGTCCTTTAGTGGTGAATGTTATGTTGCTTAGTCGGTCATTCCCATTAGAATCTGTTTGAGACAAAAATGTAAATGTAAACATACATAAGCAAAGACTGTTTATCCAAACTTCATTTACTAAGTGAAAGCTTTAGGGGCGAATAAAAGATTGATCCCAGTAATAAATCCGTTACTTTGTTTCATTTCATTTTCCTCTTTTATTCTCCTTATTTTACGCTGTATAAATATTCCAAGAGAAAATTAATTTTGATATTGCATAAGAAAAGGAAAAATAAATTGAGTATTTAATCATAACTGCTTGACAGAAGTAGGGTGAGTAGGTTAACAAATAAGACTTTTCTTCTGTTTTGGTTGTGGTTTCCATGACATTTTAAGTGTAAACTCTGAAAAAATAGGGAAAAAAGACACATAACTAACTTGGTGATGAGTCGAAATTTTGAAACCCTGTCAGTTCGTAAGATTGTGCCCTGTCTACCGAAATATATAGCAGAGTTTACTGATCAAAGCAAATTTAATGGTTTCAGACTGATTTAAATATGATTTTCTAAGTCATTCAGCAGCATTTATTTAACATTTGTTGTCGTGATTATTGACTCACTACTAGTCATATTTTGATTTAACATACACTGTTGGAGTTTCCACTTTGACAGTTAGAGAGCAAACTTTAGGAATGTACATATTTTCGGTCATTTCTTATCAGGGTTTACAATCATATAATGAGATTATTAAACGTAGACATTTAACTTCGAATTGAATAATAGAATCAAAGTTCAAGTATACACAGAAGATGAAGCGAAGACAGGACTCCAGGTGAACATAGAGAAGACAGAGGTGATGAAAATTACCAACCAGCAACTTGCCACAATCACGATCAGTGGGGGAAATTTGAGGGAAGCCACTTATCTGGGTAGCCTCGTTTTCGCTACAAATAGCATGATTAAGAATATGAAAGCCATGACCTAAAAGCAAGACAGTCCTTCATTACTCTCAAATCATTTTAGAAACATCCTCCACTTAACACAAAGAAGAAGATTAGAATTCTCGACACTAACGTAAATTTAGTTGGTACTTCTTTATGATTCAGGGAATTTTCGCTTGTGTCACCAAAAGCATTTCAAACAGGCGCCAGGCTGCCTATGCTCCGTGTTGAAGATAAGATGACCGGAAAGGACTAGCAAGAAATGATTCTGCCAACAAACCAAACGATTATCTATTACCCAAAAGATTTGCCGGAGAAGACGGAGATGGATCGGACACATGTTGAGGAGACCGCTGAGTGAAATCACGCACCAGACCCTTGGGGAAACGACGAGTGGGGCGTACGAGTTTGACATAGATAAGATATTGTGGGGAGATGAAAACTTACGCGCAATCAAAGAAACAGCTAAAGAGGATGTAGAAAAAGGATGAAATGGACATGTGCCGTTGAAGCCATATGTTCCACTCGGAACTCTGGGGAATAATGGAAATAATAACAAGCAGTAGTAGTAGTAGTAGTCCAGAGTTCTATTTTTGGCTTCTTTGGATATCCAGGCACTTATGTGGAAAATATCACACGTTCAGTTTTGGTGCCATAAAAGTCTCTCAGAACAGCCTGAGTCAACACCTTGGTGGTGACTGCAGAGGACAGAATGAGATGGAGATGTTTCAGGATTTCATCATGAACTGACATCGGTTAGAGGACCATTGGAAAACCTGGGAGTACTGGACAGCTGTTTCGTCCTAGTTTGGGACTCCCCATCAGTACGCGCCCACTGGGGTTCGAACCCAGGACCTTCTGGTTACACGGCGGGCTCGTAGACCATTAAGTCACTGGGACCCGATCCAGAGGTCCACGAATTCCAACTTCAGCCAATTCAAAATATGGCGCGACCACTAGAGAATATCAACGCTCGACCCGCTGTACCCCACTGGTCATGGAGTTGTGTTGCTGAAGCCTTATGCTCCATTCAAAACCCAAAGGATAATAATAATAAGTTACTGATAAAATGCACCACAATTATAATTAGGCATCAGAATGCAAGAAACTTCTTGTACGTACTGAAGCGTATGAGATTCGAGACCATAAAGAGATCTTTGCACAGAGGAGAAAAGGGTAATCACCATGCGTCCATCCTAGTTGAAGTTGACTTGTGAAAGAGTTGTCCAACCTTTTTTATTCTCCTGTTTTTTTATTTTCTGTATGCTTACTTTTACGTTCCGCTATTCGTACACTTTTGTCTTGGCTTTTGTTTTGTCTAATTCATTCACTGAACTAATGTCCAAAATCAATCATACAATTTCACTATTGCCACTTATATGTATTCGCTTCGCAATGCAAAATGTCTTCCATTTTAAACTGTTATTATGGCAATTACCCAGTTAATAACATCCTTTCACAGTGATATGACTCAGTTGGATTTAACTCTATCGAATATTCAAGATTAATTCTATGCGCCTTCCAACTTTTTCAAACTATACTGACTTGCTAAAATCTTTGCCTCCAAGTGAATATGTTTTTTGTAACTTGCATTCTGATTCAATGTTTTTTTCTCTATTTTCCACTGAACTTCCATCACAGTCTATAAGGAATTGTGTGAATTTTTAACTTATAAATTTAGTTGAGATTTTTGAACTCATTAAATTCCGCCTTACTAAGTTGCATTTTGTGATTTCAAACTATAAGAGTAATGAACATGGTAGCGAGAAATGATAATCCTAATTCCAAGAACTGATGTTGGCTAACTTTAAGTAACTCCTTTCCACACCGAAACCAAAAGTACCGTAGTACTGTACTATCACTTAACTGAGAAACCACATAACATAGGTTTCCATCATCCATAGGGAATAAATAGCTTCAGTAATTCCAATCCAATTACCAATTTATTTGCTGCTAATAAGTTCTACCATGAAGCAGTTTTTTTAATCATCAAAATGCTAAAATGCCTAAAATGCTAAGATATCTCTGAAGTTAACAGTAAAAGGGTTTGTAGAATAAGCAGAATTGGTAAAAAAATCACCTCTAGTACATGAGTTAAAAACATCCTGGCCATGAATGGCAGATTAGTACACCTTTCAGTCCAAAAAGAATTACAAATTTAATTTTTTATTTTATTTATCTTCTAAGTGATAATTAGAACTGACACAGTGTAATCCCTCAGTTTTATTTTAACTATGAAATAGTGATTATGTGGCGTGTGCTACTGATGAGATTTATCAGTAGTATATAGAAAGACGTTCATCGGCATAAAAACATCAAACAGCAGGGAGGTGGAATTGATGAAGAAAAAAAAGAATAGATAAATTTCAATCTTTCCTAATTAAATTATTTTATATAACATTTAAAATTTAAAAAAAATATTTTTAAAAATTTTATTTGTTATTGTTAAATTTAACCAATGACGGTGATTTTGTGGATCAATAATAATAATAATAATAATGTGGTAAATGTTTTGAACGTAGTTAATAACGATGATTATAATGATAACAAAATATTGATAATAAGGTTTATGCAGGTGGCGATAAGAATAACAAAGGTAGTAATATATGTATATGTAGACAATTCAATAAGTAAATTTGGTCAAATCCTAAAAGTTACGTAATACTAAGGGTGAAGTGGACAGATAATCAGACTTTAAATAAATAACATAAAAATACGAAGGAGATGGAAAATAAGAAAGGGTGGGAGGGTTTTGAATAGAATTCACCTAGGTCAAGGGAGAGACAAAGGTAGAACAAACTTCTTTTGTATGCAAGGACTTGTAATTTTCCTATAGTCATATATTTACTATGCAGTTATAGTCAGTGTGATACAATTTACCCAAAAATCTATTCATTATTCAATATGTTTTGTTCAAACCGATGTAATAAAGAAAGCAGAAGTCTCAAAATAAATAATCCGATAGCTGATATTTGTGCATTTGCACAAGTGAAATAATCAAAAATGACACTTATTTAAAAACTGATATCTGGAAGAAAGATGTAATATTTTCTGTATGAAATAACAGTTTTAACTCAAATAGCCAATACTAAGTTATGTCTTTGAACGAAATGCATCAAGGTTAGTGTTTATTAAGTTCATGTATATAAACTTATCATAAACAGATTGATCCTGTTTTAAAAACCAACAGAGGTGTAGACTTAAAAATTTAGATTAAACATTCCTGATTTCCTACCGAAGCTTATGGTTCAATGTTATTCAACAAGTATTCAATACTAAAAAATTACTTGCTTGCTTAGAAAATCAAAACAAGATTTTTTAAACATTTCGGTGTGTAAGTCACAACTTCTTCAGTAGGACATGTTGAAAGAATTTCTGAAATGTCTTACCTGAGGCATTTTGACTGAAAGCTGAGCATGAAGTTTATCTCTTTCCCTTTCAACTTCATTTAATCGAGTTCTTGTTGCATTAACTTGTTCTTGTGATTCTCGTAATCCTTCCATTAATCTATCCCGTTCATCTAACATACTAAGCAACATGTCTTCAACATTTGTACCATCTCCACTGGTGAGTGAATCTCGATCACCCTGTAAGTATATGTAGAAAAAATTATAAAGTAACAAAAATATTTTATTCGAATTTTTACTTTCACAAATAAATTATTGTCATTTTTGGAGGAAAAGTAAAGTAAGGTTCCATAAGAAATATAAATCTCATAAAAGTGTGAAACGAAACCAAATCATCTGATGTTAAAGATCAATAAACAAGAGGTCCTTGAATTCGATCTTCTCCTACAAGAAAGAAGTATCTAAAACCTAAAGAAAACTCGTTCACCTTTTCAAATCCAACCTTACTCAGTATGATTTTATCATAAAACCACTTGGATCACTCATTGCTTCCTCTTAGTGTGGTTGATATGTATGTACAATTTGCCACATGGTGATAATTTGTTAACTTCTGTACTCTAGGCTATTATGTCGAATATGTTCGGGTTTCACACACCATGTTTTTATTTCAAGATTTGTTGAGAGAGCTGAGATATTTAACCGAAAGCTTAGGAGGTAGTTTCTAGGATTCATATTACCAGATTACTCTGCCATTTGAATATTGGGTAATCTTTTTCACTGTAAACTAATCCACACAAATGTCTTTCAGTGTCTTTACTGACTTATGAAAGCTTATTTATTCTAAGGAAAGAAAGATTAGTCAAGGTGTCTTTTTTTCGAAAGTAAAGTGACATTCTTATTCAGAGGCTTATAAATCCTTGCAGACTGTATCAAGATAAGATATACACTCAATAAAATGTATATATAATGATAAAGATTTTTGTTTGTTACTGCATCTATCGGTAGAACCTTGAATAGTGCAAACATAGTGCACAGTTTGACTGAGGGAAGATGTCTACTTTTAGGACTGTGTGAAAACAATTTACTGAAAGGAGGACACAGAAAGTCAGCAGGTCAGTTCTGGAGCACGTGAGTACTCCCAGTCATACCATATCAGCAGAGACTTCATTCATCATCACAGATAAGGTAACATAAAGTCATCCAAAAGGACTTCATTTACGTATTCTTCATTTAGCCGAAGCTATAGCAATCCAAATGGGAAAACTTGAACTTTGTATTCAGAAATGCTTAATCTGATCTGAGTATAACAGAAATAATTATGAGAATAAAAACCTAAGACACAACGGGATTTTAACCAATGGCCTTTAGGTCTGAGTCATGTTAGAGACAGATTTTCGCTTCAACTTAAATAATCATGCCTTACAAAAACAAAAGCCTTTCATATTTCCCTTTAGATCACTAACTGACATCAGAGAGAGAACCACTGAAAACTAGGGTGTATTGTACAGTTATTTCGTCCTAGTTTGGAACCTATCAAATTTTCAGTAAATGTTGTGATTTATTTCTTAAGCCCTTTTTGAACTTTTTATTTACTTAACTCTGAGTTTTGAAACTTTTAAACAATTTTTAGTACATATGACTTTGTTTATTAGCTAACTTTTATTAACTCGATGAATCCCTAGTGAATTTATTCACCAGATAATGATCATCTTAATGCTGAAAAGAGACTTTGACTCAAGTATTTCATGTTTTTTCTTTTCCTTCACTTCCCAGTGGAACATAGGGCTCCAAGTTAGTGGCTTGAAGATTCGTAGCAGTCTTTATTTTACAGGATGGGTTGCTAGCCTATGCCCAACCTTTCCTCTACCAGCATTATTTCTGGCTTAGCGAGGTAAAGGAGTGCGTTGGGCAGGGATCGAACCCCGGACCATGTGCATGGTTGGTGAGCGTCCTAACCGCCATGCCACCGACCACTTTCATATGATTAAATGCACTAAATAGTAATTTGGTGGATGATGACTAGCAGTAGAATCCAGAATGAGGATTGGGACTCGTCAGCTGGATGTTTCTGCATTCCTTAGTGAGTGGTGGTGTTTACACTGAGACTAGAATCTAGTACCCACTATTTCAAACGCCCACATGTCAACAGAGGCCAAACATTTCGGTCCAGTCAATCAAAGGGAAAATCAGAACTGACTTATACAAACGATATCCTTCAGGCAATCTACATTTATTATACTATTTCGGAACTTAGTATATATGGTTTATCGCCTCAATTATTCAACTTACAGTTATAAAATCCAAATGTTTGAACACTGTTCTGTCTATGCAACCTAATGGGATCGTTAGCCCTTACATAATCAGCTTTGTCCCATTGTACAGTACGTTATAAGTTGTGTCTGGTGGCGAAGTCACATCATGGCTGACATGTAATACGTTGTTAATCCATTCAAACACAGAATTATGAAGTAAAACAGTTTATGCAATTTGTTCTAATAAATTTCAATACAATAGTATCATGCATGATACTAGCAGCCGAAATTATCTCTTCTTTTCCAGGTGGTGGTGGTTAATCAGCATTTGTTGAAAACCTTCAGAAAGATATATTTTAAACTCACTGCAAATCAGGCTTTCTTTAAGTTTTATGATCTTACTTTTCAACACTGTGGTTTCATATATTATCTACAAGACATTTGGAATCTTTTTGACGTCTGGCGTTCCTACCCTCTATCCTTCAGAGATATGTGGGTACCCACTGCTTAAAAGTCTAACACCATAGACAAAACTTTGTCCAGTACTCAAAGGTTCGAAATAACACTACAGATAATTTCGTTTCTTGAAGAGATGCTCCTTGAAGTCAGCAACATAATCAAAACTTTTATCAAACTACCAATGATCTACATTAAAAGAAAAAGGTATCATTACTACCAGCAGTCCCGTCAACCAGGCAAGTGATTTTCGCCACCTCTAGACTTTGCTTTCAGTTATTTTGCTGCTGGTTATCAGACTGTTAAAATCATGGGTTAAGTTTTTTTCTTATTTTGACAGCTGGAATGTTTTTAAGATATTCTGTAGCATTATCAGTGAGAAACACCTCTACACAAATGAGTTTTTCAACTATCAGTGATTTTCAGTTTGATATATTTTACACTGAACACAATTAATCTTTGAAATAAGAGCTTACACTACGAAGCAATGTGGATTGAGGAGAATTTCAAGGTTACACACATTTTTCATCTATTCACATATAAAAATTAGCTATCTGTACTTCTGAAACACTGCCTACACAGACTTCTTGAAATCAACTGAATATAGAATGTTAATATGTTCATTTTTTCAACTAGACTAAGTCATTTCCTTAAGTTTCTGTGTACTTGTAAATCTATGACACAATATGGGCTGTAGTAGTTAATATATTTATATAACGAAATGAAGGACTTGTATTATTTTTTTCAAGAAATTTGTGAATGAAATTTGTACAAGATTTTATGACAGCGAATGATAGTCATTTCATTGAAGATGACCAATAAATCAATCTTCAGAAGTTAATATGTTATGCTTAGTGACTAATGTAAATCACAAGTTTGCTTACTGTGAAAGGTGGTCGACTTTCTAGTTGACTATCCTTATCATCTTTACTTTTATCCCACTGCCCACTCAACATTCCTTATTTTTCATTTACAAACAATCTTATCAACATCTTTTCTAAGTCTGGTTAATCAATTCTTTTTATTTCAGCTACATTCACTTCTTTCCTGGTCAATGTTTTTCTACTCTGCTAGCTGAGGTTATTTCTAATGGTAAGAAGCCACCGGAAGTTCCTGAAACACATACAGTCTGCATTATTCAGTGTTATTATTCTATTCATAGAAATTTGGAATTGTATAGGGAACGTAAAGTAAATAAATTAGGTCATAAAGAATTAGCTCTGTGCAATACTATGACGCTGGATAAGTGTCATATTTATGTCGGCCTTAACGAGAGTAAATAACAGATGTTCTTTATTTAATACAAGTATATATCAACTCAATATACCAACTTCAGTGCTCATATTCCTTTATCTATCGCAGCTAAATGATTTATGGTGAGCCTCATTTATTCTTTACGACCGTTTAAACCTATGCGTTAATACTGAACACTTGATATCTGTACTGTTTCTTAAGGTAAAATTTAGGCTAAGTTGTTGTTTTCGTAATTAACTGACACCAGCTAGAAAAATCATCCCAAAGTAGGACAGATATTCGTACTAGTTTGAAACTCTTCAAAAATGTGCACTCACAACCAGATAACCAAGCTAGCTCAGGGCCGTTAGTTAATCAGACGAGCGCGTCATCGTTCAGCCGATGTATCGGAATTTAATAGATTTTTGTTTGTAATTCTCATTTGTCCATAATATGATGCTGCCATTATTCAGAATGAGTGGTGATTATCTGTCCTCACTTTCAACTTAGTGGACCCCACTTGTCATGGATTCTCATGAGAACCTCCATAAAATTTATCTTGAAGCCTGTCACTAATGTACAGTGGACTGAAACTAATTTTTTAGACTTGTAGAGATTTTACAAAATCAAACTTGAGTTCTTTGGGTTTTGATGAGTAGTGGTGGCTAGAAATATTCAGTGCCCCTGCTTCGGATAGTCCTTCTGGCTGATGTTAGCTTCTGATTGAAACAGTCCAAAATCCTAGGTTAGGTTTATCACAAACCAAGGGGTCTTAGTCTGTAATTCTCGTAAATACTTCTCATTATCATGACACAACCTAAGTATACTGACCGAAATGTTATTATCTACCCATTTCATTGAATATACTGACGATGTATATTGTGTTTTGAAATAAAATACCTCATATCTGGTTCATTTATCATTGTCAAATAAATATTTATTTTCATTTGTCTCAGCACGACTATCACTCTTCAATCATGCTGTCAGTTCATCTGCTTTACTACAAATTAGATAAAATCTAACTTCATCAGGTTTAATTGACTGTCTTGAATAAGACAGTTCAAACTCTAATATTCTGTTTATTTAACTATACTTTCCCAAAAAACTATACATATATGGTATACTGAAAGATATAGAATCGACTAATCTCAGACGGTGTCATGGTTACCTGAGATCCAACATCTTCCGTAATTGTTGGCATAACGTCACAAATCATTTTATGCAGGTAATGTATAACTAAATGAATTTATTCCATCTGAAATAGAAAAAATGTAGAAAAATAAGATATATCGTTTCAATCAGAAAAGGTGGAAACGAATATACATGTTCGATAAATGAGCAAACCCTTATCATCACTGCAAAAATAGACACCAGCTGCTCTTCATGTCAAATGTTTTCTACCAGCCAGAACAACCATAAAGTAAATGTGAAAAGTTTTCACAGTTTCATAAATTTAACTTTTTGCTACTGAAATTCAACTACTTACGAGTACTTTAAAGAGTTTCTAAAAGTATTGTGATGAAGTGATAAACCAACGAGTCCATCTATAAAAGTTCACATGTTCTGGCGGAGTTATCTATTCAATTTATGGTACAAAATTCTCTGAAGCAACTGACTTTGCACAAGCCACTGACCCAAACAGTAATTCTCCTTGAAATGGAGCTCCAGACGTTTCAGTGAGGAGACTTGACCTAGATTTGTACCCATTTATTGTTTAATAATATGCTCAAAGTAGAACCTTAAGGTCTTGATCATGATCCCAACACAAGATCATGGCTGGATACTGCTATTGATTCACCAACAAAACAAAAGGCTTTTTGACATGTGCTTCCTTGTTTTCAGTGAGTTTTTTTACTTAGTTCAATACATCTTATGGGATAATGTGAAAAATTATTCTTCACGTACGTTCAGTTATCCTATCAAAAATTTAACCAAGTCACCATAGTTCTATTCTGACTTATAGCTACAAATCACCTAACTGTCTCAGTTATTTTATCAAACCAAGTCAGTGTGAGGGATTAAAGTTCAGTACAATAAGACAAATCAGCAATGTATCATATATTCTACTTCTTTGATTGAATCAAGATTCCATGCTTAGCAAACCATGTAAGAAAAGCAGACTGGATTTGCTTTAACAAATAGTAGCTGATCAAAGTGCGAAATTGTAGCCTAATTTACAGAGAGTTCAACAGTTCAGTCAGTGGAGCACTACGCAGTGACATCAAAAGCCACTGGTTGAAATTCTACAAGAGCTAGATTTTTATCTTAGCCTTAATTCACAATCAATTTTTAAATATTAATATGCAAATTATGGCATTGACAAATGGTCTGATTTACAGAATCACTATAAAGTAGAACATTTGCTTACATGGTTTTAGGTAAGTAAATTTATATTACAATACCTTATTTCAACAAAACACATTGGCATTTTAAAAACTTCAGTGTGAAAACATTTGTTCCTGGAAACACTTGCGTTTTATAAAGCGCTTTATCTTAGCATGCAGTTGCATACATTTATAGTTATAGAGTTTCTGTAGATTTATCTTGTAAGAGTAGAACTCATTTGTAGTTACTGAAGCTAGAGGAAATCACTCGAATAACTTGTATTTTACTTGACACTCTTACTATATTTTTTACACTGTAATTTGCGTCTAATGGGAAGTATGAGCATATACACACTACACAAAATATCTAGTATATTTGTAGTCCACATGTTCTCCATTTTTCATCGCTCTTGGTAACCTTCCTGGTGATGAATCCATAACAGTCTTAGTTTCAGTATGAGATGATCATTTAGAAACTTTTTTATCCTCTTTTTACCTTAAGATAGCACGATAATCCACGGAAGGTGGCTGGATGAAATATCAGTTAAAAGGCTAATGTAAATATTTGGACACTTGCGCAACTTCCTACTTATACACATCTTGTAAACTACTGAGCTAAGGACACGTATAAAAAAGCTCCTTTGGCATTTTGAAGGCAGAATTTGTAAACTGTGATAGGCCATAACGGTGGCATATATGCACTGATACTAAGGTGAGCAGTGCATAAGGTGAGGTCAGCAGAAATGGTCCTGATATCACCACAAATAATACCACCTCACGTGTAATACATTAAACAAACTAATATGAAAATGGAAATTATTTACATCCTTAAAAACGCATCTAACTTTAATACTTCTAATTTACGTTTCTATAACTATGCATTACTGTACTAATATATATATATATATATATATATTTGTACCTTGACAAAAAAGTCACAAAGTGAATCAAATGAAGACATTGTGAATTATAAAGTAGTTAGTTCTACGCTAGGCAAAGTAGTAATTTCGTCTGAGTTTTACAGATGAACTTCAAGAGTTCTGTTATTTTCAAGTATTGGTTTTTGTAGGGATTTTTTTATTGCTTGGAGGATTTCATCATGGCAGAAGTTAGAATTCATGGACTGGCGATTGGATTGGGTCCAAGTGGCTTAATGGTCTACGAGCTCGCCTTGTAACCAGAAGGTCCTGGGTTTGAACCCCAGTGGGCGCATACTGATGGGGAGTCCCAAACTAGGACGAAACAGCTGTCCAGTACTCCCAGCTGGTTTTCCAATGGTCCTCTAACTGATGTCAGTTCATGATGAAATCCTCCAACCAAAGTTCTGTTGTTAATTTGGTATGCCTTTTAAAAGTTCAGCTTACTGATAATAAAATTACTCGAAGTGAAATGTTAGCTAGTATATCCAGCTGTGTTCTTCCTGTATGACAGAAGAGTAATAACGTACAAAGATGATGGCATATGGTGAAGCTATATCCCTAATTTTACCTTGATCTAAATGTTGTTTGTCAACTTGGAGTGTGGGGAAAATCATAATTAAGGCCGTCCAAATATTTTTGTTTTGATTTAAGTTTTTCTAGATTTCCTTGCACATTCAGCCGATTTTTGATTATCAAAGTTTTATACGTATATCAATATCAAAAGAAAAATTTGACCGACCATGTATCTCAGGGTTCATTATGTAACACTTCAGGTTGTAAATATTAAATCATGCGGTTTCTCGAACACAAAAAGTCAAATTTTTCCTGAATATTTTAAGATTTAGAAGCCTAATATTTTATTATGGCGGTATGATACAGCAATTTTCAAACGTAAATTGTCGTCTACTAGCTAATATATTTATTATTAGTCAATAGGGGGAACAAAGTACTCGGATGTAATTCCATTGTGGGTAAAATTTATTTCGATAAAGTCTCACAGTATTATACAGTGGTATTTACTGATGACGTTTCGAGCACAATTTATTGCTCATAATCATATCAAGGTACTCACACACAAGGTAAACACACATGTTGTGTATGGGACGTACAAGGGTGACATGGAGGAGATCGTGTGAAGAGGAGTTGAAACGGCATGGACTAACATGGACGCAAGTGAAAAGCACAGCAAAAGACAGAAGCAAGTGGAGGCGTGCAGTTGAAGCCCTATGTTCCACTAGGAACCCAAGGGAACAATAATAATAATAATTTTTGTGTGGAGCTCAAACCAGTTAGCTAATGTATGTTATTCTATTTGTAATGAATATACCGAAATCCCAAATATATTTGTGAAGAATTACTTGTTTGAATACGAAATCCTAAACAAAAACCGTATTCAGACATTCAACCTGTAAATAGAATAACTAGTTTGATGGAGATATTTCTATGGTCAGCGCTTCTCATTATTTTGAACAAAGAAAGAACTACAGTTTTGGCTTTGTTCAAATTCATTAAGGGGAACAAATGTATGAAATCTCATTATTTTCCCTCCTATCTCCTAAAACTTGTAACTTCAAGTTGACATTCGTGATTCAGCACATTCTGCGGATGGATAGATCGCCATATTTGATTGTGAAAACTAATTTTACTGCTTTTAATGTTTAGCTTTTACCACTTTTAGGTCTCACACTGTATACGACTGAACTTATAGCTTTGGAATCTGTCCTTGAATACCTAAATGGGCGTTTTTTAAGTAGCACATGTTAGCCTCTAATAGATGATGTTTTTCTAAAGGCTGTTTCCTGCATTTTTTATTAACAACACTGGTCGCTCCTGATTTAGCAGTCTTATAGAGATGCTAATGAGAGCCAGTTTAAACTGCTCAATGCCAAGTAACGTGATAATGCTAGCTCTCAGTGGCTCAGTGTTCCTTTACTATGGAAGGAATCTTGGCTTTCCATGAACTGTCCTTCACACTTTTTGAAAATCTTCATCAATGTAATCTGAAGGTTATCTTTGACATCACTAGGGTGTTTAATCTTTCTTCAGTCGAGCAATAAATGCTAATAACGTTTACCATAGAAATCGCTTTCAAATTTTCAGTGTGTTTAATTTTTAAGTTGGTGCAAAATATGGAACAGTCCCATGGTTAGTTCAAAAGACGTTTAGATTTGACATCCAACAACTGAATTCGTTGACATTCAAGCTGTTATAGATGCTCAAAATGAAGCTGGTAAAGCGGTCCACAATATTATTGTACATTTACTAGACCCTGTCAATTTTGACAGTGTAGTGAAGCGCCTGCTTTTATTAGTCGTATATAAAACCTTTCTTATAAAGCAAATAAATACATGGTTTTCAAAAAATATTAGGATGACTGAATTCATATCAAAACAAGAACTTTTGCATGAAGACTTCCCACCAAATGGATTACGGCCCAGCTAGCAGTGATTTTGGGAGCACCGCAAACAATTTGGGCAACACCTCAGATGCACAAAAGTAACTCTAACAACTTCCAGCAAATAAGTCCTACACCCCATGTGCTCCCAATGTTTTTGACGGTTTACTTACCCGGATTTTTGCAATGCACCCCATATTTTTGCTAGCCGGGAGAAAGAGTGTTAAGCAATGAATGTCTAACTCAGCCGCAACATAGTTTAATTTTTCATTTGGATTTTTCACCACATGTTACAAATTTAAGTGGAACTTGAAATACCAAATACTGCTTTCTTAGCTATTAGTTATGTTTCCGTTTAGTCTGAATTATTCTACCTGCACCACGTAATAATTTTAAAGTGAGTTGACAGTAATAAGTTAGATGGATTTATGCAGATGAAAATCAAACTTGTGCAGATAACAGTAATATCTTGTACACATTGATAAATATCACAAAAACGTAATGTTACTTTTTAATACCACGACTAATTTAGGGGCTGAAAATAATGGGTAGAACTTAGTCAGGATAGTTACATTAAATTTCATTACTCTTAAACATCTTTCACACTTGTTAAAGTGTGACGTTTTATGGATATAATCATTCCAAATAGATTAAGGTATAAATTGATACTAGACAACGATTTTGCTCGGCGGAGATCCTGAGAGACTTACTTTCTGACGTTGAAAGAACAAGCTATTTCGTGTAATATTGTGTGTTGCTGCTAGAAACGCATATGAATTCTTTTCAACATAAATAAAATAACAATAAAAAACTTGAACAAAAAACATTGATGTAGGTGGTCATATAAATTTTAAGAACGACAGTAAATTTTTCGGCATCACATTTTGTTTTTCAAACATTATTATCTATTTATTTAACCAGTAAGTGTCTTCCAATACCATTAAGTAGATGAATATTTGAAGGCAGACAACAAAATATAACGACTAGTGCATGAGTAAACAGCAAATAAAAATTATATCGTTATTTTCGTGAATATATGATCTATAAAATATAATCCAACATATAAACCGAAAGACATACAATCGATATTTTTCTAGTATTTAAATGTCCGCTGAAAAGGGAAATCGACTGTCATCATACGTTTGTACGTTAAAACAAGAAAATAATCAAGATAATTTTCCAAAAAATATATACATAACAATAGTTTCAGACCTCTTCATCAATTTCGCATGTCGCTTTGAGGCTTTTAGGCCTACTACTAAAGTGAGCTGGTTAGTATGACTTCTTACTTGGGTGTGAGAACTATAAGAGTGATATAAGGTGAAATATATGAGGAAAACAGTTTTTGTGGGATCCATAAGTCATTCATTTATCGAGCACTATAAAACTTCAAGTAACCGAAATCAGTTTCATTAAAATAAATGACAAATGACTGCAGGAAACACTTATCATTTACGAGATCAACAAACTACGCTAACAAGCTATTCGCTAAAGGATTTGCATACTTCACTTTATTCTGACTTCAGCGCTCACACTTCTTTATGGAACTGATTGAAAAATGCTGGCTCAATAATCTAGTGCAAACAGCACCCCACAACCATAATGATGGTGGGAGGAATGACTCGGCAAACCAAGTTTTGCTGTTAGTCTGCCTTCATAAACAAAGCACAGCATCTACATCTAGAAATCAGTTCAAAGCTACCCCAGTCAGTGGCATGTTGAAGCTTTATCTTCGACTATATCCAGCCAACGAATGAGTGACAGCATAAACATGTGATTATATATATGAATTTGTCATTAAAAAGTAACTACCATAGTTGCATAGACCGGAGTTTGTTCGCCAAAATCTAATCACCGCGTTTTGACAAATGAATAGGCCATGCGATCACTAGATAACTTTATGATGTGACACGTCTAAAATTAAGAAACACTCAGCTGTATGGACAAGTGTCCAAAAAGATAGCTGGTCGAACCCATTTTACGATGATAATAATTTTCTTATTCTCCTATATGATTGGCCAGTTGTAGAATTAACTGCTACCCAGTGTGGCAGCGGAATAACCTGTCGACAACTTCGAGAGAGGGCTAGACTATTGCTTGCAAAGGGTCAGTTTACGTGCTCTTCTAGGGGAAATGTACTACTTCTATGGTACTTTACTGTTACTACACATGTCCGTTGAATCATTCCTATCATATGTGCTTGCAGTTTGTTTGAAAATTCTACTAACCTTACGACAAATAGGAGAGAACAGAGAAAACTACAAAATTCAAGTTTCAAAGTCGTGTGATTATAAGTGATATGATTATGAACAATAAATTTTGTTCGAAACGTGATCCAGTAAATAATACTGTTTCACTGTGTGAATTTCATGTAAATTATGTTTATGTGAAAATATACATTATTATTATTATCTAATCAACAAACTAATATGGAACAAGGGTTAAACATGAGACAAAAGACTTTGTATGACTATTAATCAGTTCACTTGTACCACGATCCCTCCTCATGGCCATATGTGTTCTCAGGCATGCTTAATCATAATGCTTACATATATATGCATATACAGGGACTCAGACCTGATTGTCTTTCTGGCTTTATCTAGAAATAGCATTCACTAGTGAATAGTGATCAAATAACTTACTACGTCTGCACAGTAGCAGGTTGCTCCTCCTGGTACACCCTGAAATGGTGGCTAGGTTGCTCATAGCTCCAATCAGTGAATGAGAGGAAGATTTGATTCTTACTTCAGTTCTGTATCTAAGGAAATTAATACTGAAAGTTTCTCAAAGTACACAAAGGTAATACATTGCAGACACCATACATGCAACACTCGTGAGTAACCTTTATTTAGATTAATTGCAAATAACTGCAAGATGAACATTCAACCGGTGTATGAGCAAACGGTTAGCAAATAGCAACATGACCGACTAACATGGGTTAAAATACTCTAGAGAAGCATTTTGCTATTAATAACCCTGAACGTGTCAGATATTCTACTCCAAAGCGGTCCCTTCAAAAATCGACTGTTTTAGATAAGCTTTTTTCATCTAAATTAGAAGAGACAATCGAATCGTCTTTTAAATATGAAATGTGTAATGTTTGAATGAATTCGAGAATTTTCTCGCTCCTTTGTGTTACCTTTCCTGCCAGAATCAAGAAGGTGTGAGGATCTTAGAGGAGAATGTTGAGTATTCGGAATCCCAAAAGGAAGGCAGAAGAAGAGATGAAACCGGTTAAGAGAGAGAATGGGTTCTTAGCAGACGATTTATAAAGAGATTAGCAATTAGCAAATGACAGTCATGCATAAACGAAAAAGCCCTTGCTCAGCACAGCGCAGACTCTATGCATCGGTCTCTGCAGGCATCCTGATCAGTAGAGGTGAAAAGTCAATCGTTTAAAATCAGATTTCTGGTGGTTCAAGCTTATTCTTGAATTTCTGTGACCCTCTTCAGTACATCTTATGGCTTTTCGTACAGATACTCAAGACTAAGAACTCTGATTGGCTATGGTATCCGAAAACATTTTCTTACGCAGACCCTCTCAGCAGATTTAGTAACTAACGTCATCATGGTACCTTTCATAGACAGAAATTTATCAGATCTCCCTGTCTGTTCGGCCCTGAATTTGGACAGACTGTGCTTAACACCACCTCAACATAGGCAGAAAGAATAATAAGCTCACGTCTATTCAGGAATATGTGTAGACAGATGGGGGAAACAAATAACCAGCACTTTTCAATTCTGTGAAACAGCAGCTATCCAAGGATAGTCGGTTTACCAATGTTCTAGAGATATACAAATTGGCCAGAAGAGGCGAACTTTCCAAAGCTCCAAGAGTTATATGAGTATTATCGTGCCCTAAACATACATAAAAGGTTCTTTTTTAAGTGTGTAGTATGCAACTGACACGTTATGTGTAGTTATTTCTTACTTATTGTATACTGTCAGAGAACTTGTGGCTGTTTCATATCCTATGCTATCTGGACCAGTCTATTCACTGCGCAAACTAAAATAATCTTACATAACCACTCCTCCTCGCCAAGGGGAATTTCATGTTTTTTCGGGTTTGATGATGCCTTGGCTTCAACGCCTTACAAATAACCTCTAACACTAGGTCTGATATCTCATATTTCAGTTACACCCACCTTAACTTCATTCTACACTCAAGTGGATTCCTTCTGCAGATTTTAGTTCCACGATAGACTTTGCAGTATCTCGAATAATTTATTATTTTTAGTGTTTGTAAAATTTGTACTTCATAAATGCATACTTCTCATACGTGCCTTTTCCACAAACGTGTACATGTTGAAGCTCAAGACGGAGTAGTAAATGGCGTGGATGCTTGACCGGAAGCCTTCAGCTAAACAAGTCGACTTAAACAGTGAGTGGCAGCATCCGATGTTCAGTGATGATTGCTGTGGTCAATAATTTTGGGGAATTATTTACCGCTACAGCTCACTCCTCACCTAGTGGGGTTGTGAGGACCTTAAGACAGAACCAGTCGGAAGTAAAAAAACCTCGAAGGTTCCCTTCAGGGTGAAAAAACTCTTCCAAGCGGCTTGGTGGAGTGCCTACTGGTCTGTCTGCCTATTCTAATATGGTGTCTGTACATGGCTTCCTCGAAGTTATTCGTTGGACCCCGTGCTTCTTTTGTTTCATGTACAGTGCCCGTCACACCTGGAAAAGAAAACAAGAATTATAAGAACCTTGCTGAGGAAAATCTACCAAAGGAGCGTTTTTAAAAAAATGACGTGCATCTACGATTCAGTAAAATGATGTAAAGTTTAAAACATCGAAAAAAATATACATCTGATTTAATTTTTAAAGTGCATGTATAATGTACGGTTATATGAAAAAAATATTTTACTTGTGTTTAGTGATGCGACATAAAAAGGTTGATGTGTCTGAAAAGAAGAAATAATGATTAATACCACAAACGAATGAGTTGGGTGAAACGCACCACTCAGTTATGTGAAATAGGTGTGAAGGCATTCTAGGATTAGACGTCAAACGCGTTCTCTTAGAGGACTCGACAGAAAGTTCAGGGGCTGTCGCCGTTATAGGGAGTTCTTCGAAGACTAAAGGATATTCAATTACTTGTGGATTATCGGGTATGTTTAGCTCTACGCTAATAGGATTACCTTCCAAGTAAGCCGGTTTCAGACGGTCAATGCTGACGGTGTCTTCGCGGCCTTTTTTGTCTAAGACAAAGAATTTATCCGTACGTTTAATTACTTTATGTGGTCCGTCTTACGAAGTTTCTAGAGGGCGACGCACAGAGTCGCGACGAACAAATACGAGTGAAGAAGTTTTTAAACAGTGGTGAACGAAGGCATCAGTGGACTGTGGTCGGAGTGGAGCAGGTTTAACTGAACACATTGCGTTTGTTAGCCTGCTGAAGTATGAGGCGTGATCTGCCGCTGGTGAGAAGCTCGAAGAAGAAACAAAATCACCTGGCAGTCGTAGTTTGTCAGGAGCCAGTCGTCGTGCTTTAGATGTCACAGGCTGTCCTGAGGCAATCAAGTTCCAGGTACTTATCAACAATCGGTTGGAAAGTTAGATCAAGGATTGCCTTCATCTTAAGGAGTGACAAGCTGGGACCTACGTAGGTAATGCCTTCAATAGACAGTCTAGTAGTACTGACTGTCAGTCGTTTTCGGCGGACGTCTACGAGTAAATCATGACGATTAAGTAGGTCCGTGCCAATGATGGCATTGTACGTCAGCGATAAGGAAAATCCACTGAATAGGTTTGCGTAAACCTACGTTCAGATAGACGTATTTCCTACCAAAGGTTGCAATTGGTTTTCCATTTGCAGCCTGTAAGTTGAAGGTAAGTTCCTTCTATCGATCTGCTGCTGTAGCAGGAAGGACGCTGACTTCGGCGCCTGTGTCGACTAAATATCGAGTCTGGCTTATCTCATCATGGATGAAAAGTACGCGGCTGGTGCCACCGGCGACGGTAGCCGCTAACGCGTGCTGGCGGGATAGTTTCTCACAGACTTTGAGACATTGCCGATATTACAAGGTTTTCGACAACACTTCGCTTCCTGGCCGTAGGTGTTGTGATACCAGCACCAGTCAGGGTTTATCATAGAACGTGGCT